ATGGAGGTTTAAAGCTGCAGATTGGGATAAGTTCAAAGATGTATGTGAAGGTAAAATGATAAGTACACAATTTAGTTTTGAAGATGTAGAGGATGTGAATAATAAAATAAATATGATTCTGTGTAGTTCAGCACAAGAGATAATAGGGAAAAGTAAAGGGGCAAGAATGAAAAAGGCTGTACCATGGTGGACAGAAAAACGTAGTGAAGTAATTAAAACCAGAAACAGAGCTTTATGAAAAGTTAAAATGATGATTTTGATGATTTTATAAATTACAAGAGAACACAAGCAGTGGTAAGAAAAGTAATAAGGATAACTAAAAGAAATTACTGGAGACAATTCTGTGATGAAATTGGTGTAAATATAGATATAAGTGATATGTGGAATATGGCACATTTTGAAAGAGAATCCTAATGTGTTGGTTCGAAAAGTGCCATCTGGATGTACATTGGATACAGATTTTACAATGTATGAACTGAAGCAGGTGTTACACGGGGTGAAACATACATCGCCAGGAAAAGACGAAATATGTTATGAAATGATAAAACATCTTTCAGATGTGTCTAAAATAAAATATTATTTTAGAATTTTTTAATAAGATATGGGAGTTAGGAAAACTCCCTACCTCTTGGAAACACGGAGTGATAATTCCAATTGGAAAGCCTGTAAAGGATCACTCAAAAGCATCAAATTATAGACCAATTTCTTTAACTAATTTATGCAAAGTGATGGAGAGAATGATAATTAGCCGATTAAATTGTCATAGAAAAGAAAAATCTAATATGTTCATATCAGAGTGGCTTTAGAAAAGGGCGTAATACAATGGATTCAATAATATGTCTAGAATCTGACATTAGAAAGGCAATAGTGAATAAGGAGGTGTTGGTAGGTGTGTTTTTGATGTGGAAAAAGCCTGTGATATGCTGTGGAAAGAGGGACTTTTAGTTAAACTAGACAAGATGGGAATAAAAGGAAAAATGTACAATTGGATTATGGATTTTTTTATTAATAGGACCATACAAGTAAGGGTCGGAACAAGTTATTATAGGACTTACTCAACAGATAATGGGACCCCACAAGGAAGTGTGTGTAGTCCAGTTTTATTTAACATAATGATAAATTACATTTTCAATGATTGGACAAGGATTTGGTAAATCTTTATATGCTGATGATGGTGCCTTGTGGAAAAGGGGAAGACATTTAGTATTTGTGGAAAGTAGTATGCAGGAAGCAGTTAATGAAGTGGAAAAATGGGCAAATAAGTGGAGTTTTAGACTGTCAGTAGAAAAACTAAAGTGATATGTTTCTCAAAAAATAAGAAATCACCAAATATTAAACTAAAGATTTATGAAAAATGTTAGGTTCCTTGGATTATGGATGGACTCAAAACTAACTTTTGCATCACATATTAATAAAGTAATGGATACATGTAAAAAGGGAATACATATTTTAAGATGTTTGGCAGGGGTAGATTGGGGTGCAACCCGATAGGCATTGGAAAAGAGTATATTGTGCAATGATTAGACCTATGATTGATTATGGCAGCATAGTATATAGTTCGGCATCAGTATCTATGTTGAAGAAAATAAGTGGTATTCAATCTCAAGCACTAAGAATAGGAAGTGGGGCATTTAGAACATCGCCAGTCTCAGCGATGCAGGTGGAAATGGCGGAATTGCCTTTAGACCTCCGGAGACTTAAGTTAAAGATGGCATACTGGTGTTCGTAAGGGGGCATGTAAAAACCCATCCAGTCAAAGATGTTTTACAAAAATGTTGGGAACATGAGTAGTTGAAGAAAATAAGTGGTATTCAATCTCAAGCACTAAGAATAGGAAGTGGGGCATTTAGAACATCGCCAGTCTCAGCGATGCAGGTGGAAATGGCGGAATTGCCTTTAGACCTCCGGAGACTTAAGTTAAAGATGGCATACTGGTTTTCTGTAAGGGGGCATGTAAAAACCCATCCAGTCAAAGATGTTTTACAAAAATGTTAGGAACATGAGAATTTAAATTATTGTAGTTTTGGATGGAATGCCAACGCAGATGCTAAGAAGGTAGGAATTAATGACATAAAAATAAGTTCAACGGTAGCAATACCAATTATACCCCCTTGGCTGTTCCGCATGCCAAAGGTAGATCTCCAGTTGCATTTTAAAATAAATGAAAAGGAAAGGTGTATGTCTAAAGAAATAGTAGTGGATCAATAGTTGAAAGAAAACTATTTTAATAGTATTCAAATATATACGGATGGGTAAAAAAAATCCAGATTCTGGGTATACAGCAGCAGCCATATATATTCCCTTTTTTAAATATAGCACAGTTAAAAGGTTATCTAACGATGTATCTGTATTCACAACAGAAATTATCGCAATTCTAATGGGTTTGCAGTGGGTGGAAGAAATCAATCCTATAAGTGTAGTACCATAGTTTGTTCAGATTCATATTCAGTATTAAACAGCTTAAATAGTGGGAAATCAGCATCTAGACAGGATATACTTTATGAAATTTTACAGAATTTATATAGAATAAACCAAACAGGAGTAAGAGTAGAGTTTTTATGGATACCTGCCCATGTAGGTGTAGAAGTGAACGAGGAGGTGGATAAGCTGGCCAAGTCAGCATTTAGAAAAGAAGAGATTGACATAGAAATTCCTTTAAGTAAAACAGAAGTAAAAGGTATTATTAAAACAGCAGTTGGAAGTATGTGGCAAGACGTATGGAATAAAGAGTCAAAAGGGAGACACTTATTTAGCATTCAACAGAAAGTGGGGATTGAAAGAAAGGTATATGGAAACAGAAGAGAAGATACTGTTATAACCAGGATCCGTATAGGACACTCTAACCTTAATTATTCATTGCATATAATAGGAAAAAGTGAGTCAGATAGCTGCAGTTACTGTGGAATAACAGAAACAGTTGAACATGTGCTTTTACATTGTAAGGCATGTAATAGACAAAGAAAGCAACTTGTTGAAAAACTAAGAGATATGGAAATCAATGACATTTCAGTTATGAATATATTTCAGAATGCACAGAAACATCTAAGGGTTTATGATTTTCTTCTAAAATATCTGAGAGATACAGAGTTGATTAGAATAAATTTTTTTTTCTTCATTAGTAGTATATAATATATTCGTTCATCGAGGCCTCACACTCCATCCCAGTAGGTGGCGGAAATGCACCTTAAGCTGGTTTGCCAACCGCCATTAAACACAAAAGAAGAAGAAGAAGAAGAAGAGTGCATTCTGAGACTAAAAGCACTGAAGTGAGGACTAAGATCCTTTCACTTTTAAGGCTTCCAAGGACACCGTAATTTCCCCCTACAAGACAGGACCTATAGTCTTGTTACAATTACACACGGAGAAGGACAACGATATATTGCCCAATCAATATTTTGTCACACCCCTACTCTTTACTAGTTGATCATCACACCTGTTATTCTTTTAGTTCGTTATCAGTATGCGTAAAGAGGTCATGAACTGCCTCTGTTTGAATAGATGTGGTGGATTGTAGACTCAGAGGTAAATGCCCACTGCTATGATTGGCTAATAGTTGTGTATGTTTGACAGTCTACATCCTTCACAGATGGACGCTGCTGTGTTTTAGGTTAAAAACACATAAATACTCAGTACATATCAAACGATCTGGAAGGCAATGCAAATACAGTTTTTTTTCTCCCCCACAACTTGGCACTGCACAGTGTCTTGTTGTCTTCAGAGCCATCTTTATCGTTTGGTTTCTGTGTAGACCTGCGCATTCACCTCTCTTGAAAACACGTGCATGAATCGGTGGGCTGGGCTAAACAGGCAGTGATGTCGCTCTTCTTCTGCAGAGGCAGTGCTTATCCACACTGTTACATCATAGAGTAGAACGTTCCACAAGCTATCGTTTTGGCAGACTGCCTTCAATATAAGCTGTTTTTAGACTAACAACAAAGTTTTGAGTTCTGAAACTTATAGGATGTTTTTATAGTACAATGACCTCTTATATGTGATGGAAATTCATATGGGAATTTTAGTTTCTCAGTTCATGACCCCTTTGATTTCCCTTGTTCCTCATTTCGTTGTTGGTTGCTTTGTGTATTGTTCACACTATTGCCTTGGATTACCTTCTGTTTTTTCTTTAATTATATACTTTTGAGTTGGAACTTTGAATCTTCGTCTTTGAAACTTTTATATTGGGACTGAAAACCGACTACAAAATGGATTATGCTGTGTTGATCCATCTCATCACCGGACCCAGAGCCCAGCCCACTGCCAACCTGCAACACTGAGCCAGAGCCTGAGCCCCAACACAAGTCTGACTAGGTGTGTGAGCCGATGACTCCAGTGGGAGTTTTGGTGGAGCTGGACACTGAACAGTGGCTAAAAGACTTCCCACCCTACCCACCCACGAATCCTCTCTTCTGCTAGTCCCTTTCTGCACAAATGCTTCATCATCATCACTGATCTCACTCAGCTCAGAGTCTTCATCATGGACTCTTAGTTTGTTCCGTTTCATTTCCTGTTGTCTTTGTTCTAGTTTCCTGCTCTCTTTAGTTACTATAGAAATTAATTTGATCATAACACCTTTCAGTCTTTTAGTTTATGTGTATACTTAAGTTCCCTTGTTTCCTCAGTTCATTGTCAGTGGCTCTGACAGTATAAGTGACAAACTCAGGACCTTCAGTGTCAGAGGTCTTATAAAATAGAAAGAGATGAGCTAAAAGTTGTGGTTTGTTTTCTGTTAATCAAGAAGGGACAGCAGTTTTCACTAGTTTCTGCTTTTATCACTTCCCTGAAGTTATAAATAAAAGCAGTAGCTTACCATGAAACCATCAAAAATACTGTTCCCTATTAATTAGAAACAACTGATTTTTCTTGTTCTTGTAATGCCAAATAAATGCTTTTCAGTTTGATAATGTATGATAAAAAACATTCTGTATAAAACTTGTAGAGTATAGGGTGATTCATGGCAGGCGTTTGACACCTCGGGTGCAGATGACGTTCTAAGGTTTTAACACAGGCTGTCTTCAACCATCTATGATTATTTGATCAGATATGGAGCTCGGGCAACTTCCCTTTGTGTTCTGTAAGTATTCTTTTTTTTTCTTCTAATATTTAATTAAACATAACAATACATTATATTTATGCATTATACATACACTTTTATCCAATCTTCGCCAAGGCACTGGATTCCAAAATTAAATCCCTGAGTGCTGCCTGAATAAATGTACTGATGTCATATAGAATGGTTGGGGCAATGCAACACAATTTCTTCTTCTCATTATTTTTATTTAGAAATCTTGTTCAGTGCTCTGTAATTCAGTATGGTCCTATGATTGAGAGTAATGACAAATACATTTATCTTAGCAGTGATATCAACATTCAGTTGCAGTGCTTAAGTGTGTCAATTGGACCATTGGTTAAAACTATATATATATATATATATATAAATCATTGTAAACAATAATGTGGCATAAGTCCATTTTTTATATTGAAGTACTAAAATTACATATCTACAACTAAAACTAAATAGTTTTTACGCCTCTATTTGTATACAAATTGGACAAATCTTCTGAAAAATAAATACCTATATTCTTCTTGTCAAACTGAGAAACATTAGAGCATAAACTGATGGTGTTTTACACAGAAGGAAGAATATACTTCAGTTCATCAGCTCCATGTTCATGCTGTAATGAGTTTTCACTGTGTTTTAGTGCTGATTTCAAACATCCACTCTGGACACACTGATGGTGAGTCAATTTGATTTATATATTTAATAACATATAAGTGATTTTACACTGTTACAAATCAGCAAAGAAAACGAGTGTTGCAGAGAAAAAGGGACTGCTAGGTTCTGGTTCTAAGAGTGTGAGCAGTATGCATCCTGGGTGTTGGTCAGGACACAAAGGACGAGGGGATTGGATCCTTTCTGCAGTATAATTGATTCACAAATGACAGACATATTACAAGGTATACTCTAACATTTTTATATATTTAATAACATATAAGTGATTTTACACTGTTACAAATCAGCAAAGAAAACGAGTGTTGCAGAGAAAAAGGGACTGCTAGGTTCTGGTTCTAAGAGTGTGAGCAGTATGCATCCTGGGTGTCGGTCAGGACACAAAGGACGAGGGGATTGGATCCTTTCTGCAGTATAATTGATTCACAAATGACAGACATATTACAAGGTATACTCTAACATTAAACTCCGTATTTCACATAAATCATGTTACAAAACTTAACAAATGAAGATTTAACTGAATCGATCATGAGCACATGGAAACATAAAATTGGAAGTTACACTTGAAACAAGGTTAAATATAAAGAAGTGCTCTGAAGTGGTATTCGAAGCTATGTGTAACCCAGCATGCATCACGTTCTGGAAATAAATCACAAGACTTTTGCTGAGATCTCGCGAGAGGTAGCAGAAACCTTTCCAGTGTAAGTTAAATATTAATAATAATTATTACATATCATTTGGTATAGTAAAACAAAGTGTTGCACATATGCAACATCAGTGCAAAGATGAGTGTCAGGAAATAGGCTGGATTCAGGTGCGGGTACAACAGAGGCTTTATTGAACAGATATTTATCACAACGGGCAATGAGCGCCTCCGCAGACAGTTCGTGTGGACATGGAATCCCCTACCACACTGATGGGTGGATAGCAGCCGCTGGAACAAGCCGCAACTGCGGCAGTGGAGATGAAGCCAGCAGGGCAGCTCGCTAATCCGAGCAAGAGGCTGAGCAACCCAACAATGAGACCGCAGAGTCCCAGGGTAGGCGGATGCCGAAGGGATCCCACGGGTTTCTGAACGCACAGAGAGGTGCAGGAAAATATACAGGCAGCTACGAGCACTGGAGCCTGAACGAGACAAGACAGAACTGGTAAGCAATACTAACAATGACAGTCAGAGCAAGGGAATAATCACAACAATCTGACAAAAGACAGAGACACACGAGGAGCTATAAGGGGAAGCTAATGAGATAACAATAACCTGGTGTGAAACAAGAATCTAGTGAGCAGAGAAATAAGGAGGGCGGGGAAACAATCATGCTGACAAAGCGCACGTGGCGAGCTGTCAAAACAAACCACGCACACAACAACACCCAAACACAGAGACAGCAAAAACAGGTGATCAGACCCGAGACCTGACAGTACCCCCCTCCCAGGAGCCCCACCAGGCACCCCAGGAGGAGGCCCACCTTGTCGCCGACGGAAGTTCCCGATCAACGAATGGTCCAAAATGTCCCGGGACGGCACCCAGCATCTCTCCTCTGGACCGTAACCCTCCCAGTCCATGAGATACTGAAACCCTCTGCCACAGCGCCGCTCGTCGAGTAATCTCCTAACCCTAGAGATAGGGGAGCCATCCACAAGACGAGGGGGTGGGGGGGTGGGTGCGATCGTCGGCAGGGTTAAGGGGAGAAGAAAACACAGGTTTAACCCTAGAGACATGAAACACAGGGTGAACCCGACCAAGAGCAGGAGGGAGCTTGAGCCTGATCGCCACTGGATTAACCACCTTGGTGACGCGGTACGGCCCAATGAATCTGGGCGCCAGCTTACGAGAAGGCGCCCGGAGAGGCAGATCCCTGGTAGAAAGCCATACCCGTTGATCGCACACATAGGTTGGAGGAGAGGACCGGCGACGATCAGCTGCTGCCTTGGTTCGTCCCCAGGTTCAGACCAAAACCCGCTGAACGAAAGCCAGGGCGGATGGAACTGCAGCATCGGGTTCCTGTGACGGCAACAGAGGCGGTTTATAACCCACAGAGCACTCAAAAGGGGACATACCTGAAGCCGCCACTGGAAGGGAGTTGCGAGGGTATTCTATCCAGGAAAGCTGTTGGCACCAGGAACTCGGATTGTTGGATGTCAGACAGCGGAGCATTCTT